AAATTCATCTTCAAAGGCGAACGAATTGTACAGGCGAAATTCATTTTCGCAGGTGAAATTTGAAGTTGTGGGGATGAGCCATGTCTTTGCAGGCAAAACCCTTCCTTTGGGCGGAATTCGATTTGGCGGGAGGTAAGCCACGTGTTCGCCGATGGAGCTTAGTGCCTTCCAGCTAAGGCGGCGTGGGTCCGTCAGGTTGCATTAATTACGATTTGGCGATGTGACGTCAGCTTCGTGCACCTCACTCGATGATGGATCGTTGCTGTGGTTTTCAAATTTAGCCGTTAGATTCAGTCGTAGATTTCGGTTCGGGTCCCGGGTTCTGACCGGCCCGTTTCCTGTTTCGACGGTTCCTGCGTAACCACAAAAGAGAATGCCTTATCAAGAATAATCTGGGCCGTCGATTTTGATCGTGGCCATGTCTCTTAACCGTCAATATCACCATCTTGAGAGCGATCGTGGCCACGCAAGAATTTCTGCCTTTAAATAGGCTTTGTTCCCCTCCTTTGACAGCTGCCATGCTCAGGAACTTCTGCTCGCATGAAAATTTTCTAGAGAGAGAGAACTCCCACTCCGTCCCTGACTCTCAGACATGGCACCAAAATCCAAGAGATGCGTTCCGAAGAGGGGAGGTCCTGGATGCTATTCTGATCGCGTCACCACTGGTATGATCACCAACTGCTCGAGACGCACTTGGGTAAGTCGAAAGGTTTGTCTGACGACTTTGCATTGATTGCCGACGTTGGGTCGGGAGGATGAGCATCGCTCGTCTTCCTCAGTAGACTCTGCCATTTTTTTGGTAGTTTCCCCGATTTGGATAAGATTAGCCTTTTTCAGGCGGATTCTACATTCATTTGTAGAGGGTGACTTCTGTCTTTATAGGTGAAGTCGGCCTTTTTATCTGGCGAAGGTGAATTCATTATTGACAGGCGAGTTCGACTTTTGTCTGGTAAAGACGAATTCGGTCTATACAGGCAAATTTTGTCTTTGTCATGTGGATTTTGCTTGTTGACAGGTGGATTTACATTTGTCTGGCGACTTCGCTTGTTTTAGTGCAATAGGCAGATTTACCCCCTAGGGTGGACTCTGTTCTAATTCTTTGGTTCTGCCTTGCAGCGACCTTTTCTGACGAAGCCCTTCCGAAGGGCGTGGCCATTGGCCTCGCCGGAGGTACAGGCTATACGGTGCCTCCCCGATTCCCTTTCCTTGATCTGGTGCCCGTGTTTGCTTCCGACAAGCTGGATGGACTGATCAAGAGAGTTACCGACGGGCACCATTTGACGTTGCGTGAGTTGACTACTAATGCAGTGTTGACGGACGAGGCTAGGACAGAGCTCAAAAAGCCTCAGTTTTTGTTCAGTGATGCCGCGACTGATCCTTCAGCTCTATTGCTCAGGGAGAGCAGGTGGCTTCGTGTAGTGGACGGGGTCCACTACTACCTTCCCATCATGCCGAGAGGGTTCTCAATTGTTGAGTTGCGGTCCCTTGCAGTCCCAAGAATGATGAACTGGGATTTGACTCCAACTCAAGATGGGGTGACTTGTGGCATTTTCACAGGCTCTATGGCTAGGTACGGGGTGGACAGCTCCTGCAAACGTGTGACCGCTCTACGTCCTGGCCTGCCGTTCAACAAGTTGCCCGCCGGGGAGACGATTGAGGTCGCGGAGACTTTTCGTCATTGCTTCTTTCGGGTTGGGGGGAAATTTCCTCCAAAGAACTTCAGAGCCCCGGGGTGGATCTACTCTGTGCCTGGTAGCAGCACTTGGTGGTCTAAGATTACTGACTATGTCTTGGTCGAGAATTCTGATCTCATGGATTCAGAGCTGTACGTAGCCATTCGGGCCACTCGACATGGTCTGAAAATCAATGCTCCTTAGTTCCACAGCATCTTGGAGCTGTATTTTGCGGACAGAGACACGTTCTTCACCCCCAATGGTGAACTCGGCATAACCATTCATGAGATGTATGACGTGTCAGGGTTGCTCTTAGGAAGCTTCCCCTACGAGGAGTACGTCCCAGGTCAAGATGAGATTGACCAACTTTCAAACCGCTCCCCCTTGGTGGTTGAGACTCTATGGGAATTACTTTGTCACTACCATATATGCCTCAATACCTTGGGGGCGGTAGACCACAAAGGAAAGAAGAAGAGGGCTCCAGGGATCAGCCATAAGAACTGGGCTGATTACTTATTCCTAGAGAATGATATCAAAGGAAGGCCTACTCTACCGCTGGGCGAGTGTGACCAGGCCGAAGTGGAAAGGAGGATAGCCGAAGGGGGAGCCACCATGACTCTCGAGCATGACGAGGGTGGATTCAAATTCAGAACGGTTTTCCACTCGTTCTACAACCAGGACAAGTCCCCTATATCTGGAAAGGCCTTGCTCGCGGGGTACCTCATATTATGGCTGAAGAGATGCATGGTTCCCACTCATTCCTTCGAGGTGCTTCCGGTGGAGGTCGTGTATCCTGCAGTTCACTTAGCCCATAGGAAGTCCTACGCGTTGGTGTTGGTGATGGTGGCGTGTATCCATCGGGGACTCCGCACATTGATGGCCCAATTTTGTCGTGTGTCGAGTGTCGTCGAAGGGGAAGGTGAAGTCATTAGGACTCCTAACCCTAGAGTGGGGCTTCCCTATACTTACTTGATGGCGTGGTTTGTCTACCATTGCGAGTGCTTGATGAGTACCCCAGCTACTCTCCAAGGGGAAAAGTTTATTTCGTTCGTCCAGTGCCAGGAGAGATGCTCGTGGAAGTGTAAAGACAGCCCTGACGCGAGGAAGATGCTGTCCCACTTCGGCCATTATAATTTTCACCGTTTCTTCCCCTACTTTAGGGGAGGAGGGTATGGTGAATCCTTTAGCGATGTATCGACGGTGGACCATCACACCGTTCTTTCTTGTGGCACTTTTCGATGGTTGGTGAACATTCGACCGGGGTATCATATCCTGCGAACAGGCTCTGTGTGCTACCTCGAGCAGTACATTCCTTGCAGATTTTCCCGCTAGTTCGGGTATGACCAACTGTACGTGGGAAACATCAACCCCCACTTATATTTCAAAGGAGGGTTAGTGGATGGTGTTCGGGGATGGTTCTGGACTCACGCTGGCGGCACCCAAGCTCACTTCGAGCTACCTGTAAAGGATCGTGATCTGCACCACACACTCTTATACTGCCGGTGGTATCAGGGTGCTAGTGCTAATCCTGAGGGCTTCCGGTTCCATAGTTCCTGTCTGATGGAACATGGGCATCGTCCAAGGGGAGCTCCTCGTCCCTCGAGGCGGAAGGGCCACCAAACTGCTAGAGGGTGGTTCTCGGAAGATCCCGCTGAAGACACTGAGGGCTTTGATGTAGGTTTAGATGAATCCGGGGCACTTGAGGCTCAAGCTCCGTCCCCTGGCCCTTCGCTGGATCCCACCGGTGGGCAGAGAGAATCTGATGAGCTAGTCCGGGCAGGTGAACGTCGGGAATAGGCCCGGATCACGATAGCTGGACGGATGGGGATGCCCCTCCTGTCTCCGAGTAGTTCGCTTCTCTCTAAACGACAGCGGGAGACTACGGCCGAGAGTTCCAGGATGGAGGCGGCCAAGAAGGTCCGTCACGAGGGCTCGCGGCGGAAGGTCAGGACGATTCTACTCAGGTGATCATTCTTGGAGTGACTCCTCCTGTGACTGGGGGTATTTCGCCTGCTCCCTTCACCACATCAGGGATGGTCCCGACGACTTCGGAGGATGCTCCTCCACAATCAGGTGTGAGGCTACAGGAGGGGGCTTCGACGACCTCCACGACCGTACCAGAAGGTAATCCTTAACACCGTGCCTTTGGGCGTAAGGTCGAATCCGCACCACCTGACATTTGTGTTGGCTTAATGTAGGTACCATTGAGAGAGTAATCTCCATTCCTTCCGACGAAGAGGAGGGAGGTGGAGGCGAAGAGGGGCTTGGTGGCTCAGGTAAGAGTAGGATCTAGCGTTGTCGATCCGTTCATGCTGAACCGTCAGTGGGGCTCCTCCCGAGGGTATTTACTAACCTTCCTCTTGTATTCGCAGCTGGCCCACCCCATAAAGCTACTGGTAAAGAGGCTCTCCCACCTCAGGAGGGCCATTCGACTGGAGAGATGGGAGAATCAGAGGCGAAAAACGATGTCTCGATTCACGAGGTGATATCGAGCGAGGAGGAGGTGTTAGCTCATGAAGAGGTGTTATACTGACAAGGGGGCATCCCTGTTTCTGCAGAAGCGTTGGTCGGGGGTGGAGTACCGGCACAAGAGTCCCTGAACCAAGGGGATACACCCACTCGGCTGGTGACCGCTTCCTTATCCTTGGTGGCCGTCGGCATCACGGCCGATATTCCAGTGACGTCGGCTGGCACTTCGATCTTGACGGCATCTGCCACCACTTCCACCATGGCTATGGTGTCCGCGACAGATGAGGCTACCCTCTCTCCTTTGGTGCGTTCGTGCAAAAGGAAGGTGGCTCGAACCCTTGCTAATTTCCAAGACACTCTCGCTGACTGCGTCAAGCTCGCATTGGAAGAGAGCTGCCCCTTTGAGGAGTTCAAGGAGGACCTTGATTATGACATGGCTTTCTTGATCAAGAAGCTTGGTGCCACTGCAGCTAACCTATACTTCAAGCGTTTGGAAGAGGTAGAGAGGGCTATCTGACAGCTGGTTACCCTTCGCACGACGAGCTCCGAGATTGTTCGTCTCACATCCGGTGAGGTTAAAACAGCATTGGAGGAGCGCGATCACCGACTGGATGAGACAATATCACTAGAGGCGCGGTTGGCGGAAGAGTTGGAGCAGGTCAAGACCGAGAACGAACGAGTGAGCCTAGAGCAACAAAAGGCTGACTCCCGCCTCTCTCGCTTGTCTTCGGAGATAGCGAAGACCAAGCAAATCATTGCTAATGTGCAGGCCTCGCTAGTCAATCAGGAGAAGACTCGTGAGCAGCTGATGGGGGAGTTGGAGGAGTTGGAGTCTCGACGGCAACTGATCGTCGGTTCCATTAAGGAGAAAGACCAAGCCCTCAAGGAGGCCAGGCACACCGTCCAAGACTTGGTTTCGCTCTTTGTGGAGGATCTTCGTCGAGAGATTTTAAGGAGGCTCGAGCTCAAGCGTGCTGAGGAGATTCGCGAGGTGGAGTCGCGGTTGCGAGATTTGTAATTTGCTTTTGATTCCGCCATTGTATTCGAATCTCTTTTAATGAATGGAATTATCCTTTTGTTTCTAGTCATTATTTATCTTATGCATGCCCCACCCCTTTTTTTATTGTTCAACACGGATCCGCACTAGTCAGAGTTTGGCTGTAGGGGAATCCTAGTTGCGGGCGGATTCCAGCTGTTGGCGGATTTTAGCCGTAGGCTTATTCTTTCTGTAGGCGAATTCCGTCTGCAGGCGGAATTAGGACTAGCTCGAGTTCCAGAGTGGTGTGCGAGCCTGAATGTCTAAACCCTCAGACGGGTTCAGACCACATGAGTTCAGACGACGAATTTGCCTCGCGGGCTAGGCTTCACTCCACAATTTCGCCAACCTCCATTGGATATGATCGTGAATGCTTGATTCCATCCATCCTCTAACATGTTGTTTGTCTACAATAAATAGATAAGCACAAACACTAGACAAACAATATTAGTGGTAAATTGTTTGTTAAACATTATCAAAACAAAGAGACTAACAATCTCCCCCTTTTTGATGATGACAAACAATTTACAAAAATGATATATGCATGAAAGGAAGTTAATAGGTAAATTAGAATTATCATGCATATATATATAACCAAAATAAGATATACTCACAATATTTCTCCCCCTTTGACAACATCAAAAAGGAGAAAACAAAAGAATGAAGAGAGCGAAAGCTCCCCCTACAAATAAGCATGGGTGAGTATAAAAATATAGGGATTGCTCCCCCTATTAAAATACCATAAAGAATATATGAAATGAAGGCTAAGGCAATCATATGTGAGTAAGTATAGATGAATATGCTAAATATCACTCACATACTACAAGATAATGAGAACACATATAGATGTACCATTGAAATAATGTATCTCAAAACATAAACATAAAAATCATGTATAAAAATAGATTTATGAAATCAAAAGAAAGAAAAACATGAGAATCATGAAAAAAAATTTCAAGTAAAAACAAATCACTCAAATAAAATCATAAATCAAGATTTAAACCTCAAATGATGTTTGATCAAATAAAGCAAGTTTTCATTGTAGAACTTGATCAAACCACTTATAGAATTCATTATAAAAAATATTTGAAATTTGAATCATCTATTTGTGCTATATAATGGATTCAAAGCAACCAATCAAAACAAAATTTTTGACAAAATACAAGAGAGGCAACAATATATCAAGCTCTTAAGTTTGTTCTAACCCATATAAGGACTTTTAGTACCCGGTAAACAAGATTTGGGAATAAACACCCAATAAACCCGGGGGGTTATATAAACATAAACCTCTCATCAAAAACGACACTAATAATCATGAAAACAAAAGAATTAATCAAAGAAAAGTTGTTTTCATATTCAAAAATTTCAAAGCATAATTTTCAAAACCAAGAAAAAGAAAAATAAAAACACTAAAATTCTTGGTTTAAAATCAAATTTATTTTGGTACCCAAGTATTCTTGGTACCAAAAGGTTTAGGGGCATGACCCCTATCATTTAAGCTCAATGCCCTAGGGTTATGAACCCGTTTGGGCGCATATGGTGCACTAGCATGGTCAAAACAAAAATTGTACACATGACCTTTCCGATTGCAATAGGTGCAATGAAGAGGGTTAAATGATTTATGTTGACCAAGTGGGCGTGCAAGGGAATTATTTGCAAATAAATATTTTTCTTTTAAATTATTTCACAAATGAGAAACATCATTAAATAAAGGTGGTTTACTTGAGAAATTTGGCAAGTTGAACATTTCTTTCAATCATAACAAAACTTTGCCAAATGGCCAAATCTACCACAAATATCACATTTAAAAACATGTGGTCTACTAGAAATATTTGGCAAACGTGATTTTCTTTTTAAATCAAAATAATACTTGGCCAAATGACCAAAACAACCACAAAGATCACATTGATACACATGAGCATGCTTATGATGTACTTTTTGTGCATGTGTGTGTACATGTGATGAAGATGAAGAAGCTTGATGGGATGCACAATCATGAATAGGCTTGTTAAGCTTTTGTGCATTATGATAAAATTTAGCTATATGGCCTTTAAGACTGCAAATAGAATATTTGTGAATACATGTGTGCATAGTGTGTAGGTTTCTTAGAAGAATTAACATAGTACTTTGCACACAAGTCCATAAGCTTTTTGTTATTTACCATACATGTTTTTAAGGTTGAATCTAAACAAGATATGCGATATTTAACTTGACTCAACTTATCATTTTGCATACATTTATTGGAAATAGAAGTAGATGAAACATGATCATATTTAAATGAATTAAACTCATTTCTAATTATTTCTACTTCTATCATGGCATTATTATTTGCATGAGTTAAGCTAGCAATAGATGAAGTTAATTTTTCATTTTTTAAACTTAGTGTGTCATTGTTTTCTTTAAGTGTAGCATTCTCCTTAGTAATGACATCAAGTTTAGAGGCTAACAACTCATGATCAGATTTTGAACTAATATGCTTTCTTTTAAGATCTATAAAATTATTTTGCAATTTTGTATAGGCATGTGATAATTTCTCATATGCACAAGTGAGTTTATTAATAGATAGATCATCATCGGATTCCGAATCGCTTACCACACTAGGGTTATCCTCTAATGGTCGCGTGCATGATGCTCCTCTATCACTTGAAGTCGATTCCGCCACAACGCGTCGAATCTCCTCCAAATCTCCTTGATATGCTTCAAAAAGTTTCCAAATCGTGTAAGGACTATCAAAATGAGCAAGTTTGTTAGAAATACATGGTTCAAAAGCATTATGCAAAAGTTTTAACATTAACTTGTTCATTGTAAATATTTTCTTATCATGATTGCTCCACTTGGATTTCTCCAATGTGGGTATAATATAAACACAATCAATAACTTCCCATAAGTTGATATTTCTAGATTCAACAAATGTTTTAAATTTAGAGCACCATTGAGTATAAGAGAAATTTCTATATTTTGGAGCAATATTTAGATTATAGCCTAAACGAAATACATTTATATTCATGATATATATGTGAATATATGCAAGCAAGACAAATACAATCATAACTAGATTAGCACAAATAAGATAACTTGGATCTTTAACTCAAGGTTATTAGACCTTAAATCAAAGAGCACCAAGCTCTGATACCAATTGTTAGACCCTAGAGGGGGGTGATTAGGGTCTTATGCTAATCTAATCTAATTTTATGCTAATTAAAACTAATTAACAAATTATTCTTGTAAGATAGATATACAATATGTTATAATCAAGAATGAGCGATATAACCAAAGAGCAATATCCTAGCAATGAGATATATGGGGAATTATATACAAGGATATATAAACTAATACAAGGAGAAATAAACAATCTACAAATGTGATTGGTCAATATGAAGAGCAATACACAAAGGCGATATAAGATATGAATACAAGGATAGGTACGCCAATGCAATCACAAACAAAACGATATGATCACGAAGTTCAGTCTAACCACTTGACCTACGTCTCCGCTCCTCACCTCGAGGAGATCTCCACTATCACAACCGGGTTTTCTACGCTTACCTGAATAACGTTTACACCTCACACTCGGTTTTCTAGTTCACCGAAAACTTTACAATCTCACACTCTTGCAATCACACTTTACATCCTCTTAAGTGTTGGTATCTAGTCCATGTCTCCCTCAAGTGTTAGGAATTACAACCTCTCTAGGCATTACCACCTACTGCACTCCTCTTAGGATGACCCTGTCTCTCACCACACACCTCTCTCGGTGTACAAGTGTATTAAAAAGTGATCTTCATAAATAGGCTCACAATACAACAAATGATTTGTTCTCTACAATAAATGAGAACACAATTAAGCTCACTCTCAATGTCACAAACCCACAACCCAAATTATACTATGAATGTAAATACAATAAGCTCAAGTGGGTGTGTGTAAACAATGAGTAAAATTAAATTAACTAAACTCAAATATAAATACTAGCTTAATAGAATGATAATCAAACAATATAAAAGTAAAGCAAGATTGAGTTTAGAAAACTTCTCCAATAAATGACAAGAGTAAGAGAGAGATGATTTGAAGCTCAAACACCAAGTGATGATCTCTTCCAGCTCTTGTGAAATTGATTTCACAAAATTAAACTCTCAATTGCTTAAAATCTTTTAAAACAAACTTAAACCAAACATAAACCCTTGTTTAAAACTTTCTTAAACTTGTTTAAAACACTCTCATTAGTTTTGAAGAGCTGAAGGCAATGGGGTATTTATACCCACTCAAAACTTCAGTAAAAACCCCACTAAAATGACAACAAAGCCCACAGAAAAACACAGCTAGAACTAGCCGTTGGAGTGCAACGATCAGATCGGCGGTCGACCATGGAAAACTCGCGGTCGACCGCAAGCAGCAAAAAGGCCAAGGCCAGGGTTTGGCTCTGGACAACAGCCGGTCGACCGTGGCGGTCGACCGTGAAACTTTCTGGACTGCATCCGGTCGACCGTCACGGTCGACCATGAGCCATCAAGAATCAAACTGAGTCTCTAGACTCAGGGGCGGTCGACCGTGGCGGTAGACCGCAAACAGACATATGACAAAAACAGGTTTTGTAAACAGTTTTCTGATTTTGAAACACTGTTTAAAAATATCAAACAAATTCTAAAAAATATAAAACTTTAGAAAATGATTGTAGATATAATAATACACATGCTACAAAAACTAGTTTTTAAAAAGGATCTCCCAAATAAAAAATATCATTATTTTGTAAAATAGTCCAAAACATGAAAATGTGAACATATGAGTTTTAACATTTTAGCTTAATCATGTTTTGAAACAATTCAAAATGATTTTATAGACTTGAAGAAAGATGTAAACTATTGTTATGAAGTCTATAAACAATGAATATAGTATTTTATCAAAATACACATATAATGTATTTTATCAAAATACATATATAATGCACTAAAACATGATTTCATTGAAGGACAAATTTTCAAAACCAT